CGAAGACACGCGAAGACACGCGAAGACACGCGAAGACACGCGAAGACACGAAGAGGCTTCAGGTCTTCAAAGCTTCAGGTCATCACTAGGCGTCAGGTCTTCAAGGCTTCAGGTCGTATAGGCTTCAGGTCTTCAAGGCTTCAGGTCGTCACTAGGCTTCAGGTCTTCAAGGCTTCAGATCGTCACTAGGTTTCAGGTCTTCAAGGCTTCAGGTCGTCACTATAGGCTTCAGGTCTTCAAAGATTCAGGTCGTCACCAGGCTTCAGTTCTTCAAGGCTTCAGGTCGTCACCAGGCTTCAGGTCTTCAAGGCTTCAGGTCGTCACTAGGCTTCAGGTCGTCAGCAGGGTTTCAAGGCTTCAAGGCTTCATGTCTTCAGAGGAAAGTCACCCGGGATTGCCAGCACACTGACACGAATTGCTGGTGGGTTTTGCCGGTTCGCAGTTCGAGGCTGAACATTTGCATTTGTTAAAAGATATGAACAGATTACGGCTTTTGTATTTTCAACAAACATATGGAAAAAAGCTGCCCCCCCCCAAGAAAAATACAGCCCGCGAAGAGAAAGAACAAACAAAAGCTAGTACATACAAAAAAAGTACAAAAATACAACCGCCAAAAAGTACTATGCACAAAGTTCTACAAGAAATGCAACCGCCCAAAAAAAACAAACAATTATCCGGCAAGAGACCCCAAACAGTGTGTGTGAGGTCTATAAGCAGAAAGTCTAGAGATCTATATGCACGCATTGGGGTCCAGAGAGGTGATGGTGGTGATAAAGGTAGAGTGAGTGTGAGTGTGAGTGAATGTGAATGTGAGTGAGTGTGAATGTGAGTGTGAGTGACGAGTGAGTGTGAGGGTGTGTGAGTGAGTGAGAGTGAGGGTATGTGAGGGTGAAAGTATTCCATTTCATTACACGTGTTCTCATCTCATTGCTCATCTCTCGACGCTGCAAGGCATGTAGCTAGGTAGTACGGGCTAGTCACTAGTCACACCTCGCACAGGCACCCGAGGTCAGCAGGCTCAGGTGGACATCGAGGAAGATGGTCATCAACAAAGGTGGCTGTTGTTTCCCTGGCAAGTTCCTTTGTGCATGGCTTTGGGCCCCCACGGTTTCTTGATAGTCGCCGTGGATTCATTTCGTGACACATTACGATTGAATGTTCTTTGGGAATCAATAAATCGTGCAACGTCCTTTGGGTTTCTTCGATTTGATGGTTTTTGCTACCTTGTGGGCTGGCCCCGCAACATCCAAAGACACGACCCGAAGAACGGGACATCAGTTGGCAGGAGATGAACGAGAGTGCCAAGTTCGTTTGCAACAAACAATGTCTTGCAGCAGTGTCATCGGTTATGCATGCAAACCTCCTGCTGTTTAAGACGGTGATTGCTGGAGACGGATGGGGCGAAATTGCCGTTCCAGTCATCCATGAGCACCCAGGCACTGCCTTTATTTTTGTGGGTTCTTTGCTGACGCTCGTATTTGGAGTGCTGAACTTGATCGTTCCTTGGTTAGGTCGCACGCAAAAGCGGACACGCGAGACCTAGGTGTTTTTCTTCAAGTTTTACCCTCTTCCATCTGGAGATGCACGTGTTTTACACCCCCGGAGGGGTCCATGAAAACATCTGTGTTTGGGCCTTGCAAGTGGTTTGCACTGCCTAGGTTGCTGTCGTGGTTGACACATTTGCGGATGCTCGATTAAATGACGTGCAAAATTTGGCAGAAGAAATGGAAGATGAAATTGAACATGACCGAAAGGCCTTGGCCAAACTTTTTGCCAAAATCGACAAAGATGGTAGTGGTCAGCTCACTTTGTCGGAGATGATCGAAGGGGCTCGCCACGACCCAACGTTTCAATCCCGCTTACGTGTCATGGACATAGATGAACACGATCTGGAACAGCTCTTTCAGATGATCGACCATGACCAATCCGGCACCATCGAAGTGGCCGAATTCATCGGCCCATTGAGCAGATGGGCTCACGATTCGAAGACGGCACCGCGCTTCATCAAGTACAACATGATCCAAACCATGCATTTACAAGAGGATTTGTACGAACTCTCCTCCGAGTGCTTCAACCAGTTGGCCGCGCGCATCGATGATTTGGCACTGCAAATGCAAGAGCTCAAGGCTCCGTGGAGCACAGAAACTGAGTTGCAAACGGATCGTAGTGGGTGTGCCATTTTGAGAGGGAAACACCCAGCCACAATGGGTTGTTTTGGTCTAGCGTGGGGATATGTGGGAGCTCGGAGGTGACTCGTGCCGGTGTTCCAGCGCGTTGTATCGTCCGAACGTTCAACGGTCGCCCCTGTTGCACGTCGTTGAGCTGGATTTGACGTCTAGTCGTTCTGCTTCCTGACCTGGTCGCGTGAGACTCGAGCGGTGGTCATCTCATGAATTCGACGCCTGGCTCCATCTGACTCCTCCTTTGGCACCGGTTTTGCACGGACCTTCTCACCCCCAGCCGGCCCCCCACCGCCCAGGAGACTCGAAGGTCCTTGCGTCGCTCCGTGAAGGGTGAAGAGACCGAGAAGGCTAGGCCAACGGAAGGTCTCGAGGAGGTCTTCTCCGACTTGGGAGCCGACTCCGGATCGGAGGTGGATGACCAAGTGCACCCGCCCGCCAAGCATGGCTTGGACCAACCCTTGCCTTCCAAATCGGACATCCACTTCTTGTCGCCCAAGTCGGCCGAACGCGAAGCGCGGGAGACGTCGAGCTTGGTGGAGTTCATGTTGGAAACTGCTGTTTTCAAGCTGGAGACCAAGTTAGATGCTGGGTCGTTGGTTTCAGGGTATTTATTTTTTCATGGCAACTATTTGGGGATGGATTTTTCACGCACTGAGCTCCTTCCAAATCCGCTGCAGCCTTTTCTCAGGATGCGCTTTTGGACCATTGCCGCCTCCGAGCTAAGCCTTTGTCAGTGTCCCCCGAACACTCCAGCGCGGACAAGAACAGTGAAGACTGGCCGGGCACCGTCGACCGGAAGCCCAAGCGACGAGCGCGCGGTTTGCATCCAGAAGCCTTCAGGCTGGAAACCAACGGGTGGGGACCGACTGGGAAACCAAAAGTTCCGGTTGGCTGGCTCCAGTCTGCTGAATTTGGGGCTGGTTTCATGCTGGTTTCATGCGGAATTGATGCAAGAGGCAGCGCCCGAGTTAGTGAATCTAACGGTTCAATCCCAAAGTCCCTTTCAAGCCTTGAGATTGCGCTCGGTTTTTTGGCGCCAGATGTCTCAAAGCTTCAGGCATATGTACATGGAGCGGAATGGCAAACGCCACGCCACGGATGAAGTGTCCGCCTCACGATCAATATCGGAAAAGAGGCTTTCAACCAGGAGCGGCGTGCCGTTGCCGACGCGCAGACGAAGTTTGTCATCTGAGGGCCTTCCGACGAACCCTTTGGTTTCACCGGATCTTTGCCCGTATCCCATGGAACAATAACTGCAAAGATCTGGGCATTCCAAGGAGTGCCACCCAGAACGTTTGACATTTTCAATAGTGGTGCTAGATCTCCAAGAGATTCTAGGACAAGTTGAAGCAGCACCCCGAAGATTTGCATGCATCGGGAAACAAAGGTCCGCCCAGCACCGATAATGATATTTCAGTTTTCTCTTTAGCTGGTCGTGTGACCAAATCTTGTTCGTGTAGCCACACTGAGTTGTCGTGCTCACTTTCGTTCTTGTTGAGACGGCGAACGGCGCGGCGTCGCGTTCGAGCGACTTCACTTGCAGAACTGCAGCGCTGACTGCGGGAACACCCGAAAGGCGGCCTCATGGTGCGGTCCCTCGTGCGACTGGCTTCGGCCCGGGGCCGTGGAAACGGACACGACGTGGTTTCGGCGAAACCTGAACGCGGTGGAAAGCTTCAGTGCATCCCACGGCGGAAGGCGATTGGCTGGCCCTTTTGGGGCGAGTCTGGACTCTTTGCAGGCGCGAAAGCTGGATGGTTGGAGAAGTGGCTGACGAACAGTGTGGAGGTGTCGCTTTCTTTTCCTTCTCGGTGTCGTGTATAATTAGGAGTTGAGGTTTAGATCCAATATTGATTTTAGATGTGATTTGCTGGATTGCAGTTGCTGCCTCTCGCTTGGCCCTTTTGATGTTCCTTTTTGGCTGTGAGAAACGGCTCAAGTGCAGCAGCCCATGGAGCCCTGAGTCATGGAGTCTATGAATATGGATGGCTCGAGGGGGCCTGTAGCATCACGTCAAGGCTCTTTGAGTGTGAACCGTGATGGCAGTGGTCGGAGGCAGGAGGATCATTCACGCACCGTTTTTCTACTCCCGCTAGGCCGGGGATGTAGATCAGGGGACGTTTTTGGGATCGACTTCGCTTGTGAAGGTCGATCAGTTCAGAGGTGGAGACACCTTATGGTAACTGGTCGGTTCTTCTGTGCGCCCGGCTCGGTTCCAGGAAGACGAAGAAGGTGGAAATCACCGGCAGTTTCCTCCGTCAATCCACCGAAATGATGACCAACACCTCCAAGGCGAAGCTGAAATCCGCCACCTGGTCCAATCTGCCACCTCAGCTTAAATCCCTTGAAGGGGATTGAATCCCAGGTTGATTTTGTCTATGTTCCCTGAGAGAATTCTGGGGAATTGTTGTTATTTTTTACTCTATTTCGGGGGTTACGGGTTCAGTTCTCTAAGCAGCGACTCCAAGGCCATGAACAGCGTCTACTTGGCGAACTTTATGGCGGTCGTCGTGCTGGTGGATGCCTATTGCACCGTCGTGGACATCGATGCCACCGCAGCGCGAGAGAAGTCGCCCGAGGTCTTCCGGTGGATCTCGGACCTCTGTTTAGCAGCTCGGCCCTGCCGTGTGCTGCGTGGCGTAGAAGTCACCGGTCCTGGCAGGTGAAGCGTGACCGTGAAGCGACAGGTGTACGAATGGTAATAGTAGTAACAAGAAGCTTGACAAAAAGTCATTAAATTTAATTCTAATAGCTTTTTGTTACTACTAGTAAGGCACTTCTTACTACTAGCGTGGCACTTGTTACTAGTAGTAACAAGAAGCTAAGGCACGGCGGAGTTTGCTGCAATGGTCTCCTTACGACTATATAGATGGGGGTGAACCTCAGGTGAGGGTTGTTTACCCCTCGCTGCATGCTGCAAGGTATTCTACACAGTCGAAGTGTTCGCATGGCTTTTGATTTTTGGGCTCGAGATCTTAAGGCCGGGAGGGGGGGTGCATTTTTGAGTCAGCTACCCTATGCTGCCGGAGGTCAGATCAAGGATTTGTTCACACATGTCTTGAAACATCATATTTCCAACAAAAGATGCCATGAGGCATCAGCCAAATGAGTCCTGAGAGTTGGTATACGGACAGAACTTGTCTTTGGAGTGCCTCCTTTTCGGAGTTGGACCAACGGAACAGAACCCTTCGTTCGGAGCTGCGCCCGCGACGAGTTTCCCACTTCAACCAGCTGCGACCGCAGCTGCGACCGCAGGGACTGGATGATGTTGCTGGACCTTTTCATTGTCTTATGCGGTTGGGGCGAGAAGGCCGAGACCGCCGTCTTCTCCTGACTCATGTTTTTGTATATGTGTTCCATGTCTTCGACACGAGTTCTTTTTTGTTGAATTTGGTTGAGCTTTCGTTTTTGCGCTTCATTCTTATGATCACATGTGGTTTTCTTTGAGAAAGCACCTGTTTAATGCATAGCCCGTCGCATCAAATAAACCGAACCCGCCAGGTGATTGAGACCCTGGCCGACGGCGGTTTGGGCTTCCGGATTGCCGTGCTGCGCGCCTTGCGGTTGGTGCGGATTTTTCGGCTCATGCGCCTGTTGCCACTCGGAACGCCCAGCGATCGTTGCGATGCGGGGATAAGTAGGGGCATAAACCTTAACATTCTGAACTTAACCGAGATATATATATATATATACCAGAACCTTCCCAGTGACCACTTCAGGATTGGTATACTTGACCTTTTCAAGACCTAAGTGACCTCATGCTGGGATCTCAAGTTATGTCACTGGGAAGGTCCTGGTAGTGGATCATATCATATCCTCATTCCTCAAGTCTGCCACAAGCCAGACTCACTCTTTGTGCGTGTCCTATCCTACTCGTAGATGCTGGAAACCAACATTTCGGTAGGCAAGTCTTTCCTGTCAGCTTCACCTGGACCGAATGATTTTGATATTTGGGCTTCATGTGATCGACGGTGTCGACGGTGCCACGTGTTTCCTCAGACCGCCGTCCCCACAAAACGCAACGGACCGGTGACGCGATTTCGCGTCATTCGCGTCGTCCGACGGTCCGTTGCGCTACCGAACGGTCGGATGGCATTGCAGCTTGAAAAAATGCTGCTGATCTATCCCAGTGTAAGTGATCTATCCCATACACTCCATGGGACTGCCATACATGCCATTGACCTCCTTTCAACCACTCCTGGCCGTTTTGAAGGCAGTCCCGCAGTCCCAGACGGGCCCGTGCCCGGTGTGAGAGTGAAAGGTGGGTCGTGTGTTTGAGCGCACAGTGCACTGACATGTTTGCCTACACTTGGCTCCTAATTTGGCAACTTGATTATTATTGTTATATAGCTATAGGCTATATATATATATAGCTATATATATAGCTATATATATATATATGCGCCTATGTCAGTCACGTTCCATGAAGGGCGGGGTTTTATTGCGGGCTCTCCACTGCACATCCCGTTCTCCCGGTCGAAATCAGGAAGAGGATCCGACCCCTTAGAGAGTTGCACAAGCTGGTGATGATGATGGCGACCTGTCTTCGTACCTTGCTCTGGTCCTTTATGCTTTGTTTCGTCGTGATGACCGTGTGGGCGATGCTCATGGTGGAGGTCGTTCATCCGGTCCTAGAGGACCCGACAAACGACGACAAACGGGCCAAGCAGCTAAGCGGGTTGATCAGTGAGAGCGGACATCTTCGCGTTCCTTTTTCGTTCTTCACGTTGCATGTTTGAGTTCCACAGCCACATCCCTTCTTGCGAAGTCGCCGCATTTTTGTCGCCATCTTGAACGACGGTTGTGTCACACACACAACATTCACAAAGTCTTTGTGAGTCTTTGTGCAACTTGCCTTGGACGACGGTAACATTAGGCAACGTTCAATCCAGTAGCCTTGGTATTTGCACAAGACCCACATGTACGACCCATGAATGGCCGTATTTTATTGGCAATGCATGTGTTCATATTTGTTCAGTATCTTTGTGACACATAATTCACATCATCACTTGCAAGTGCACTGCCGAAAGGTGTCAACCAAGAGTTTAAGAGTTGGCTTACACAAACTATATAGACCAGACAATATACAATTTCGTTGGGGACCCCGACCCACCCAAGACCTCTCAGGAGTTGTTTTGTTTGTGTTGTTTTGTTCCTTGGATGCCACCCTTCCCAACGTCCATCCCTCAAAAATGGCAGCTCTTTGCAACAAAAGGACGCCTTTTTGTCCCAAAGCAACATGCAAGAGTAGTGCAAAAAGTTGACACCCAGAGCATTTGCGGTGAATGCATTTACCTTGTTTGAGGGTAGACTAACATGGACCCTGAAAACCACTGGTTGGTAGAGGAAAACCATCTTCCAGGGGGTCAGACAGTCAGGGTCTATGTGAGTTTTCGGGAGTGTTAAGAACTGTTTATGCGATGTTTGCATGTTTTGCTTTCAAGCGGCTTGCTGCTCCAAATCCTGTGGCACTGTACAAAGGATTGTTTCCAAACACTCGTGTGAAAGCTATAGGTTCTTTAAAAAAAACAACAACCGCTTTCCTTCCTGAACCTTGATTTCTTCCATTTTCTTCCTCCAGTATTATTTTGGCTTGTGGCTTTCAGTTTTCCCATGTTAAACTGATTTGTTTCGGGCTCTGCTCGTGTTGGCGATGGCGCCAAACACCGTCCCAGAACCCCTTGCCACCCAACAATCTTGAAATAATTGCTCCGTTGTTTCATTTCTTCTAGCTTTACTTGATTATCATGATGTTCCACTATTTGCTTCGCACTACTACTGGGCTGCATTTCTTCCTGTCATTTCGCAACTTCCTTTGTCAAATTGAGTTGCTCGATCTTCTCTGTTTCCTTCTATGTGTCTCTGCTTGTTGACTTCTTTACACCCCATTATCATCCATTTGTTGTTCTGCATCATTTGTTGTGTTGTTCACGAGCTGTTCCTATTCTCAACAGGCTTCTCTTTAGGACAGGCAGATGTTCAGGATGTTCATGTCTTGCTTGGCTCTTTCTATAGATTTTCCTTCTGAGACGCAAGCATGCCACGGAAATACCATGGGCCAGACCGGAGACAAAGGGGTTGATTGGCTTCTACCATTGCAGTTCAGTAGTGTCATAGCACATGTTTCTTTGGTTTCAGCAACTGTTTTGCTTAAACCTTGGATTTCTCAGACAAGAAGTTCCAAAGTTGTGATCCTTACGGAAGAACGGCCTTGCGCACAATGAAGATTAGGATCAGGATCTTCCTAGATGGAGGACACCGTGCTCATATTCTTGCATTTATACGAGTCTCATGAAGCGTGAGAATGGTAAAAAGGCTAGTAGATGATAGCGAAGCTTCTGGATGATAAGGTGGGGATGCATTGTTATCAATTCGGCATTCTTTCAAAGATGATCACCATTTCAGAAAGGAGAGAGGAGGGTTTTGGATAAGGCATCATGCTTGTATGTGTTGACAGGTAGGTTCCATAAAGGAGGACGTTCTTCTCTGAATGTGAAGGCACTTAGGATACACATGTACTGTACACCTTTTTAATATCGACTGGTTAGACAGAAACACAAAGAAACTCCTGTAAGGAAGGGAAAGATGGATATGCTTCAAAAGACTAGTCATCAAACTTGTCGTTTGGGCTGGAGTTAGGGTATTTGGATAAGTGTAAGGACCATTGTAAGACCTTCCAAACACAGCCACAGATGATCAAACACAAAAGCACTGCCACAGCCTCCCGAACTCCACGCCCAAATTCTGCGCGTGGCTTTCCGGAGCGTGTCGAAATCCTGGATAGCAAGTGATTCTGTCTTCACAGCATTTGCAAATGATCAAGGCTTTGCCATAACCCATGGGCCCTTGCCATCCCAAAGAATGGCACCAAAAAAACGTCCCATGGATTTCTGGTCCCTTCACGACATACATTGCTGCAGGACATGATCAATGCTGATGAGTTGCTGGCGGAGAAGAAGTTTGCATCTTGCGATGGAACATGTCAGAGGGCCATGTCATCGGTGATGGACGCCAATTTGTTGCTCTTCAAGACGGTGATTGCTGGCGACAGTTGGGGTGAGATCCCTGACGAGAGGTGAGACAGCCACGGTTTTGCGGTGTTGCGGTTTTGATGTTCCCTTTTTACTGGGTCAATCCCCCAAGCTGGGGGGAATATACATGTATTATATGTGTTCCAGGTTCCAAAACCAGCAACTCCGAGGATTGCAGTTCCTGTGATTCAAGAGCATCCAGCCACTGCCGTGATTTTTGTGGGATCTTTGCTGACGCTGGTGTTCGGAGTGCTCAACTTGATTGTTCCTTGGCCGCCTTGGCCCCAAAAAAGTGTTTGAATCGTCTAGCCACTTCGAGGAGTTTAGCCGTGTGTCTGGGATCTTCCCAAAGACGACCGAAGAAGATGCAAGTGTTTGACTAAACACCTGCGTCTCCAGGTCCAGGTGTTTTCATCATTTTCATCAGCGTAGTCTCACACCTTTGGGTTTTGATGTCCATCCCTAAGTCACCCACCAGACTGCATGTTTGTGGGGGTTCCCCTTATGGCACTCTTTTTGGTGGGCCGTTTTGGTGGGCACTCTTTTGGGCAGTTTGTCGCGCGACACCCTTCGTTTGACATAGCTTCTGGTGACATTGCACGTCTAGGCACTCTGGTGGAACATTTGTGTAACACCACGATAATTTGCATTGAGTGTGCAGGGGTGTTGGGCTGCTGCCCTGGTTGGTTGGCCGGGCGTGGCTTGTTTTCCTTTGGCACCCTGTGCCTGTGTCCCCCCCAAACACCTGGCTGCCTAGCATAGTGCTAGTGCTTCCAAATGCGACCCGGGAGCTAGAGCAATTCGACCCTCTTGCTTGACACCCTTGTGCCACACTCAAAAGGTGTGCTCATATGGCCGGGGGGCGGGAGGACTCTTGGTGCAAAACTTCCTCCAATGAGCATTCACAAAAGGAGGGAGAGGAAGAGGACGGGGGTGGTGTTTTGTGCGACGGCAACCGATGTATTTCTAGACGATTGCATTCATTGGTGCTTTTCCAACCTGTGGCCGGTGTTTTGTTGCGTTGGTTGCCTGGTGTTTTTTTGTTTTTTTGCGACGGTTGTTCTACGCAAAGTATGCAAAAGTAAAGCAGCAAAAGAAATTGTAACACAACATTCACTGTTTTTGTTTTTGGTTGCTGTTGGTGCCGGAGGGTTGTTGGTTGGACCTGGAGCGGGGTGCAGTAGCATCGCAGTAGTAGTATTATCATTACTGTACTATTCGTAGTGGTAGTAATAGTGGTCGTAGTCGTAGTCGTCGTCGTGGTAGTCGTAGTAGTAGTAGTAGTAGTAGTAGCAGTATTAGCGGTAGTAGTGGCAGTAGCAGTAGCACTTGGAGTAGTAGTAGTAGTAGTAGTCGTAGTAGTCGTAGTAGTCGTAGTAGCAGTAGCAGTAGCAGCAGCAGCAGGAGCAGCAGCAGGAGTAGGAGCAGGAGCAGGAGCAGGAGCAGGAGCAGGAGCAGGAGCAGGAGCAGTAGCAGTAGCAGCAGCAGTAGTAGTAGTAGTAATAGTAGTAGTAGCAGCAGCAGCAGCAGCAGTAGTAGTGCGAGTGGTGGTAGTAGTGGTAGTGATGGTGGTGGGTAGTGGGTAGTGGGTAGTGGGTAGTGGTAGTAGTGGTGGTAGTAGCAGTAGTAGTCGTAGTGGTAGTGGTAGTGGTGGTTGTGGTGGCGGTGAAGGTAGTTGGAGCAGCAGGAGCAATAGATAGTACGAAGGTAGTAGCAATAGTCCTTGTTTGTATGGATTTTTCTCCTCGCGCTACTGATCGCTGTCCTATAGCCTGGAGGCAGCCGTCGCAATAAGCACAGCTCCCAGACACAGGAATCACCACCGATGCAGAAAACACTTGCTGCAGATGCAACAGCAACGTGCACCTCGCAAAAAACTCCGACGAGCCGATGCAGAAAACACAGGCGAAACTACAGATGCAAAAAAACTTAGTTTACTTCGAGTGATCCCCAGCATGACATTTCAACCATGTCGTTTTCATGCAATGGCGAGGAGCATGTTGCCATGGTCGTGAGATTTGTGGTTTTTGACTTTGTTTGTGGGTCTTCAGCTTCGGGATTGTTATTTCATGTTAGGGAGTTCGCATCGGGGTGTCGCCCACCCAGAAGTGCTACCCTGTGACCACCTGCCGCGCAAAACGCCACACACACGGGTATTTAATGGTAGTTATATTGTTGTAGTTGTGTGTTTGTGGTTGTCTTTGAGTGTTGTGGTTTATGTGTTTGTGGCTGTGTATTTGTGATTGTGTGTTTGTGATTGTGTGTTTGTGGTTGGCGTGCTCTTCTTGCTCTACGCCCACTCCGTGCGCGCGGGCTTCTTTGGTGAAAGTGCGAAGCGAGCAAGTAAGAGAATGTCTGGGACCATTGCTGTGGTTCAGCACTTGCAGATGCGACGCCATCCGTGACTGATGGAAGCAGAACGTCGCAGGAATGAACTTGAGCTTTTTGACGGAATCCAAAAGCTGCTTGAAAAATTTTCAGATCCGAGTGAGCATGAACCACGTGCCAATGCCAAGCCCACTTTGTTGGAAGCTTGAGTGTCCAAGCTGCGAAGGATCTGCGCAATCTTCTGTCTGACCTGAAGAAAATGTGCGAAGATTAGATGCCGGTCACATTCATGTTGACGATGACGATCCTGCTCGTATTTCCCTACTTGCCATGCATAAACAGTATCGTTCTGAGACTCAATGGAAACCATTGAAGCAGGTGCTTTAAACATAGGTCCAGCAGCGGCCGACTTGGGCTCACATTGTTGCCAAGCCTGCGCCCAATGGGAATCCTCAACAATGTCCGTTTGCGATCATCGCCTGCTCAACCTAACTTGGCTGGATCTGTTGCAGCTGCGCGCGAAGCACTTGAAGAGGGTCGTAGTCCTTCTGGCAAGTTGATTGCAGCTAGCCATGCCCAGTGCCCTTGAACTTCGCGCGTTAGTTCAATCGCATGAGCTGGAAGACTCCGTTAGACTAGTGGTTGCTTTGTTGTATGGTGATGCTCCCTCCGTCGCTTCTCATTGGGTTGCGGGACCCGAAGTGAGGCAAGTTCTCATGCTTGCTTTGGGCAAGGTGCTGCGTGAATTGCCCGAGTGTAAGGTTACCAAAGTTGCACCGTTCTCAAGGGTGACAGTGCCATTTTGTTTCATGTAAATGATTGGATGCAGTGCCAGAACAAGCCCGCCGACTACTTGCCTGGTGTGTTACGTGGCCATGAGTTGCAAGGAGGACTCGTGCGCAGCTATGGGTGGCGTGCAATCGATCGCAACACCTCATGGCAGCGCGAAATGCCGGAAGCCATCATTGGTTTTGTTAAACAGCGCTGAAGTCCAAACCGATTCCATTACTTTGCCAGGCAGACGCACTTGACAGTGCAAACAATGTCTTTGAGAAAACAATGCATGAGCTGAGAAACTCCTGGAGATTGCGTCACATAGGAAAGAATCGAATACCCGGCGGGATTCTCACTTCGTGACTCAGATCTGGTGATCTCTGAGGAGATCATGAACCGGGTCAGGAAAATTCTCCGTGATGCTGCCAGGTCAGTCCCACAGACTTGTGGGCACTGCGGCAAAGCTTCCGTGCCGCGCCTACATCACATCCTGTGGGAATGTGAAACCTTCTCACATCTCAGAAAACACACGCAGCATCCGGATTCCGTCTTTCTAGCACGTTTGGGCTGGGATGGTCAAACAATCGCTTCGCGTGACATTTTGCTCCAGATGTCAAACATCCGGGCTCATGACGCAGCTTTGCGAGACAAACGCCGCCGTGACCCAGGGGCTGACGGCGGGGGGCCGCTGCCTCCAGGACTAAAGCTTGGCGCTTGGCGGCCACCACGGCGTGTCACCGTGCGGCCCATGCCGCCACTACTACTACGAGCAAAGTGACATGAACGCCGATTCTTGTGCCACGGAGAAATCTGGTGCCAAACGAAACGACGCATCCCCAACGACACGCATGTCTCCCGAGAAAAATGAAGCCTCGTGTCAACGTTGTAAAGATCAGCCTCCTTGTTTCAGGGGTACGAACTTGCTGGTTTAGTATAGGGACACTTGGTGGTTGGCTTGTGGTTAGGGAACATATGAGGTTCTTATGGCGTTTAGAAAACTTATATAGACTTATAAACGAACTTAGAGAAGTTACAAAAGGAAGTGTTTTTCTACTTGCTCATAACTTTGCTACGTTTAACTTATAACTGCTTTAAGTTTTGTAAGTTCTTAAGACCTCGCCAAACACTACATTTTGCAAAGTTTTTTCGATACATGAAAAATATCTTGTTTGCACTCCACAACAAAACTACTCATCACAGAAAAGTACTGTGTGTTTCTTGATGTCAAAAGGATGTGTCGCCTGGCCAGCAAATTTGAACGCTTGGCAAATCTTGGCAACATGTTTTCAAGTATGTTCATGTGAGGTTTCCAGTTCAATTCAGACCCATCTGAACTTGAACGTTTCATTTTTCAAGCAATATCAAAACAATAACGGAATTCTCGGAACCCAAACCTTGCCAACCAAGCGGATCATTACAGCTAAACTGCACGCACCGAAGTCAGGAAAAATGAAAATACATTTACAACGATAACTGTATAAACATGTAGAAAATGTCAAATGTAGAAAATGTAGAAAAGTGTAGGAACATGTAGAAACATGTAGAAAAGGTAGAAAAGGGCAAGAAAATGTAGGTGATGGAGCCCACACAGGCCTACAGTGACCCTCAAGTATCATCCAACTAGCGGCTCAAAGAGCCGCCATCAACTTTGGATGAAAATACATGTAATTTCCTGTACGTTTCATCAAACTGGCTAGCAGCTCAAAGAGCCGCCGCCGATATAGATAAACATCTATTGGTATAGACAACGCCATCGGTATAGACAACATCGGCATACGGTCCTTTTAACACATCTTTTTTTCTTGGAACTTCGGGTCAAAGCTCTTGCTGTCAAGAGAACCCTTGGTCTGCAGAAAAGCATCTGCTGGAGGTGAACGAGGTGGTGCAAAATCGGTGAAATCTTCTCCGCAGGATCTTCTGCCAAAAAGAACGCCGCAAAACGAAATCGTACGTGTTTGTGTGTTTGTGCTTGTGTTTGTGGTTGTGTGTTTGTGTTGGCCTGCTTGTGATTGTGTTTGTGGTTGTGCTTTGTGTTTGTGTAGTGTGGTTGTGTTTTGTTGGTTGTGTATTGTGTCTTGCGAGTTTGTGGTTACAGTATGTTGTGTGTTGAGGTCCGGTAGTGCCCACTGCGATCTTGCACACTGTGATCAGGAGCTGGCAGTTGAGGTCCGGTGCACATCCCCTCTTCGATCATGAGGATGGGAGGAAGGGCGCTGATAAAATCTAAGCACTCTCACCGGGCAGGTGGGGAACAACTATAGTACCCTGCGCCGTCGCACAAAACACGGGGTACGGACGCCAAAAAAACACGAAGCCCGACTTGATGTTGAGGTGTTCATGTCATATGAAGAGGACCTGCAAACCAAATGGGCGGATTTTACCATAAATGACCAAACAAGACCCCAAATTATCAACCAACTATAACTCAATGTTTGGACAATTGCACTGATGTTTTTCGAGGTTGCTGTTGTGGTAGACACCTTTGCGGACGCCCGCTTGAATGATGTGGAAAATTTGGCGCAAGAGATGGAAGATGAAATTGAGCACGACCGAACAGCTTTGGCCAAACTTTTCGCCCGAATCGACAAGGATGGTAGCGGGCAGCTCACATTACAAGAGCTCATCGAAGGTGCCAGGGATGACTCGGGTTTCCAAAGCCGCTTGCGTGTGATGGACATCGACGAGCACGATCTGGAACAGTTATTTCAGATGATCGATGTCGATCAATCCGGCACCATCGAGGTGGCCGAATTCATCGGCCCACTGAGCAGATGGGCTCACGATTCGAAGACGGCACCGCGCTTCATCAAGTACAACATGATCCAAACCATGCATTTACAAGAGGATTTGTACGAACTCTCGGTGGACTGTTTCAACCAGTTGGCGTCTCGAATCGATGACTTGTCCCTGCAAATTCGAGGGGTACGAGGCCAAACCGTTCCTTCGGGAGCATCTCGGATGCAACGACGGTGCTTGATGTTAGTTCATGAGTTGGAGTGGGGGTTGTTGGTTTGTTCAGCGTGGGGCTTGTTACCCCAAGCTGGGCCCCTTTCAGGACCCCTTATTTGCAGATCTGCTCAACAACACCTTGGAGCTCGAGGCGGAGCCTTCGGACCCGCCCACGGAACCACACACCTCGCCCATGGAGCCGCGAGAACCGGGCGACGCCAGTCCCTCGGAGGCTCCCGCGTCTTCGGAGTCGGAGAAGCCCGAGGCCGCCCAAGGCACCATCGAGTTGGATAGCTGCAACCCTTCACCCTCTCCCAGCCGTCAAGTGAGCCATGGCCTTCCCCATGAACGGCTGGATAGGATGGATAGGCAGATCAGTGGAGCCGCCCATCATCGGGGAGTTGACCAACCTCGAGCCTCCCCGCGTGACATGGAATTCTTAGCGCCCAAGTCCGTGGAGAGGGAAGCACGTGAGAGTTCAAATGCCATTGAAAAGATGTTGGAGTCTGCCATGGCCAAACTTGAAAGCAAGTTGGAGCAATTGTTAGTCGAAGCACGCAAGACTCCTATGGACCGACATGTGCTACCCAGTGAAGATTTGACAGCTTTTGCAGATGCAAAGTTGAGACAGCGACGAAAGAAAGGAAAGAAGATGCTGCACCCAGAAGCCTTCAGGCCCGTTTTCGCGGCGTCGCAATCGTTTCTACACATGACATGACGCTCAAGAGACTCAAAGCCATTCAACACATGCGGAAAAAAAGGTACACAGTACAGATCTAGACCACTCAGACCGATGTGACGGTATGAAATATTCTTTTGAGGCATGCACGACTGTCGACCCTGCAGGAGCATGTACATGAACCATGGCCGTCGGCTTTCTTTGGTGGAGCTTCCCAGTGCTCAACGACGACAATCCTCGCACGACGCCGTCGCGCGGCCGCGACGCAGAAGTTTGTCCGCAGATGGTCTTCAAGGTCCTCCAGACAATGCTGTTGGCCGCACCATCACCGCGACGGATCTTCTGAAAGAGGCCAAAACCCATGGCAATTTTCAGGACTCTCCGGAATCTCGAAGAGATTCTCGAAGAGATTCTCCTGTCAAACCCATTTGAGCCGTCACGTTCCGCGTCTGCGGAAGCAGCATGCGGGCCATGCATGCCGTGACGCGACGGCGCGACGCAGCCAATACGTGACGTGACCCCGGAGTTTGCTTCAAAAACTGTCAGATGGGTACAGCTGCTAGCTTCTCGTGCGTCGTATGTGTTTAAAGTTCTCACCGTCTTGGTGCAAAGAACTGCTCCAAAGCATTGCACCCTTCTGCTTAGGTAACTCAAGGCTCAAGCAGCTCAAAACCCAGAATCGTGTTCTCGAAACCTCTCACATCTAGTGACCTAGTGGACAGAGTCAGATAAAGCCAGACATGACGCGTAAGTTGGGGTGGTCACCAATCACCACCGGATATATATGATATATATATAAATATAATGGATGACCACCCTGCCAAGGTATATATCTATCTAAATAGAGCTATGATGCTGCCCAAGAACCTTGGCACCCCTGCACCAGGCCATTTCCCGGTGCCCCCGCCATGGCACGGCGCTCGGCCTCAGCGCAGTTGGTGCTCTCGGCGACGGCACCGGCGGAGACGGTCTCACGGCGGCAGTTCGTCTCAACGGTCGGAGCGGACTTCGTGAGGGCGAAGGAGTCCGACTTGGATGAGACGGCCCTGGGCTGTCTGAAGAAGAAGGCGAGAGCTTGGAGAGCTAAGAACCGAAGAAGGAATGATGTTTGGAAGGAAGTCCAAAGAACCAAGGACCATTCATCATATGGAGAACTTAAATTTCTTGGAGGACACCTTTTTTGAGAGAGATGTTACATTTTTTAGGTTTGATATTTTTTTTAAAGGGACATTTTGAAGGAGCTCTGTGGAGGACATGTTTAAAGGAAGTTCTTCGAATTAATCTTTAGATGAAATCGTTGGAGGCACTGGAAAAACATGGGAACTCCAAAGAGGGAATTGGTTGAAGGGGCTGTTTACATTTTTAGAACGACAAATTTTCGTGAGTTGGGCTCGGATGCGGCGACTATGGGCAGGCATTTTTGGGCTGAGCCCCGTAAAAGTATATACAAAAGAATGAGAGAGATGTTGTCGGGTAAAGAACTCGATCAAAACAAAAAAGATGCAGGAGAGTCGCCATTCTGGCATCCACTTGTATTCATTGCAGGTTTGTTCCAAGATTCTTGATGTAGCGATGTAGCGTCTTGCTTTATGCTTTAGGGTTTAAGGGTTGAGAAGATGCGTTCGGAACAGAACAGATCCTTTGCAGACTTGCATTGTGGTGTGATCAGGAGTGACCTTGTGTTGGAAATCTGTGTGCATTTTGTGCATAAACGTCGTTTGTTCTAGGCCACCAAGCTTCTGAACAGCGTTTACCTTGCGAATTTCATTGTGGTGGTGGTGTTTCTGGACGCCTACTGCACTTGCAGAGATATCGATTCACGAGCCCATCAACAACCAACACCACAAGCTTTTCGCATACTTTCTGACTTATGTTTGGTGCTTTATACGGTCGAGCTTTTGCTTCACTTCTTTCTTCAGGGTTTCAGCATTTGTCGCGATTGGATGATCTTCTTGGATTTGGTCATCATCGTGTGTGGCTACATCGAGCTGTTCTTCAGCTTTTTGGGCGATGAGAGCGGTGTCATTGGCATCAGCATCGTGCGGGCACTTCGCTTGGTCCGGATCTTTCGCTTGATCCGCTTGCTGAGGAAGGTGCGCACGCTACGGGAGCTGCACAAGCTGGCCACCATGATGGCCACCTGTGCAACTGGGACCGATGTCTACCGAGCTCCGGGTGCGGGGTGTCGCGTCGTGCCGGTCACACAATCCGTGACAGTGACGTGCTGTGTTTGGGGTGGGGTGGGGGAAGAAAGCAACGCTTCACTTTAGGAGTGCTGTGTTTGGTGGAATGTAGATGGATAGAAACACACATCAATCCAAATGGTAAGGTCGATTTTTTCGCGTCTATAGTGACTCGTCGACCGAGTCGGCGACGGTCGATTCCGGACCGAGTCGGCGATGGGATTGCGCAAGGTTCAGATGGGTTCACCCGCGGAGATCCATATGTTTCAGTCTTTTTGTTTCTCTACTCGGCTCTCCGTAAAATATATCTCTCATGATATATATATATACCTAGAACCCATTTGACATTTGTTTTGATAGGAAGTTTGTCCATCTTTTAGGTGGTTGGTGGTCCAAAATAGAGGTCACTCAGGTTCTAGGTATATATATATATATTATCTCTCCACTGTGCTCTCCGGAAAGAACACTTGGTTCTTCACATATGTTTTTCGCAATTGCGTGCTTCTTCTTCTTCTTCTTTCAAGGCCGGCATCTCTAGACACCCTTTTTCGGCCTTGTTTCCAAAAAGTGGTAGACCTTTCTTTCGTCAGTTTTTCCCGAAAGCGCGAATTGAGGCAAAGACTTTGGTGTGGTCTTTTCTGTTGTGCTTCCTGGTGATGACGGTGTGGAGCATGCTCATGGCCGCTTTGTTGTGAGTAGCGGCAGGGTTGGGGCCGTTGGGGTGCCTGAAGGATTCTGGGGGAGCTATTCACTGAAATGTCCCCAGCTTTTGCCACCCCACACCCTGAGACATGAGAGCAGCATAGAAAAACTTATGGGCTTTGCCCAGGTTTCATCTTCCTTCAGAGTCAGAAAGCGCACGGTGCACACATGAGGTTGAGATGATTCATCCTCTTTTGACAGATCTGGAGCTAAGCAGCTGCAGAGGGCAATGCGAGTCTGCCATGTCATCGGTGATGAATGCGAATCTCTTGCTGTTTAAGACAGTGATCGCAGGTGACAGTTGGGGTGAAATTGCGGTGCCTGTGATTGAACAGTACCCAGCAACTGCCGTCATTTTCATGGGATCGTTGTTGACACTGGTTTTCGGGGTGCTCAACCTCATTGCAACTTGGCTGACAGAATATCGGCCAAAATATCGCGATGTTTTTATAGGTTTCTCCTATCGCTTCTGTTGGTCATTTTCGCGATGACACCGTTTCGCCTGCGATTCGCATCGGCGACTAACACCAACATCAGCGACTAGACACTTCCCTGATTCATGTTAACGTGGTCCATGTTTAGGCAGGAGGATCGGAGAATCTTACCCAATCGTAGACCACATCTTCGGCCGATGGCCTCACATCCGGAGTTGCCAAATCTCATATATGCTCCATGTTCAGGAATATTGACCATTGACCTCTGAAACCACCTGCCACCACCCCAATGTATGTGACCCAGATGCTCAGTCCCAGTCGCACGTCGTGTCTGGGTTTCGTTTGCCGGGCCCAGGTGGCCGTGGTGGTCGACACCTTTGCGGAGTTCCGCCTAAACGACGTGCAGAACCTCGCGGAGGAGGGCGGAGGGTAGGGAGGTTAGTTCCAGGAAGAGACACACGAACCTGACGGCACGCGCCATTCCTGGAAGACGATGTTCCGAAGACCAACCCAGTGGTGTTCAATGTCCATGGAACAAATTGTCGCGAAGCGGTTTTTGCAAAGAATGAGTGCCCCTTCTCACCGGAGGACAGGGAACACTTTTTTCTCCGGCAACAAGTCAATACTTTTCTGGATAACATCTGTCGGTAAAGCTGAAACCATCATGTTCAAGACACATCGGTCAGCTGCCCACGCCGCTTGCCAATGAAATGTGTGCCGGAGTGCATTTTTTTGATGCAGCAGTTCGAGACAGCAGCTGCCTAACCTCTTACATGCATAGATTTGAAGCATGAGGCAACAATGTTAATTTTTCAGGGTATATCCATAGCGGGCACTTTTTCGGCATCTAGAGAGGTATTCCATTCCATTAATTATCTGGGGTGTTGCCCATGAATGGACTTGTCATTTCGGTTATTTTGCGTGGCTTATCATTGCGTATTGTCTATCATGCATAGCTGTCAGTTGATCGTTTCGTTTCGATTGTTATTGTAACTTGTCAATGCCACTGGAGTTGAGGGGTGGCACAATGGTTTGCGGTGTTGTTTGTCATTGTGGCTTCTGAGTGAGGCTGTTCGTTGTTTTTGTTTGGTTTGTTGTCGTTGTGGCTTCTCGCTGCTGCTGCTGCTGCCGCCGCCATTGTTGCCGGCCATTCATGTTGTGATCGTGGCTTGCCATTGATTTGGCCAGCGCTCGTAGTTGGTGTTCTCATTGTAGCACCCACAGGAAGATCGAATGCCCGGTTTGCCATTTGGGCACTCTTTGATTGTACGTACTGAGTTGAACGAGAGTTCCTCGCCAAGTGTGGCCACCGTGAACCTTTTCTCATTCCAATGGTCATTCCTGGATGGGCCCTTGGCAAGGCTTGGCAAGCAGGCATGTGATGCGGGTCCAAACCCAAAGGAAAGGACTGGCTACCCTGGAGGCCATGGCTAGTAGGTTGGAGGCCATCGCTTTTAGCTGTCCAAAGAGTTCCAAACACCTGGGTCCACTTCAGCGGACGCACGCCGGGCTGGACATCGTCCACCAGTCAACCGGGCTGCCCCAGAGTCTTCTGGCGTAGCAAAGCTCGAAAGTTCTGCTCGAACACCAGGAGAGATGTGGCAAGATATCCCCTATCTGGCAAAAGTCTCTTTCCACCAAAACACCCACACCTCCACATCCTTCAGCAATATTATCCTCTCTAATTAAAGTTGCCATACCCACCACTCCCCTCCAGGTGAAATATTTCCTATATATATCTAATGTCTAACATCGCTTCCCCACCCACACCACCCCTACAGTAATATACAACAAAACACATATATAGATATTAAGACATATATTACAGATGATAACATATATAATCACTATATAATCAATTGTTATATTAAAACATGTTTACAAAAAGTAATATGTAAAACATCTGCACTCTAACTCACCAACATGGAAGTGGAAAATGGTCCCTTGGAAGACTATGTTCCTTTACGAACACAAGGTGTTCCACTTCCACGTTGGTGAGTCGGAGTGTATACATAAGTAGGATAAAGTCCGATCCCGCAAGTGGAATTCCGCAACTAGGCTTCCGAAAATAAAATTCTGCAACCGTCTGGAATTCCGCAACTGGGATTCCACAACGGTTGGAGCAGCAACCACAGGTGCCAAGCATCCAAGCAAAAGCAAGAACAGGGGTGGAGTGGTGGGTTGGACTCTTTTTTTTTAGAACACCAGTTGCGACTCTCCAGCTTCAGAATACCAGTTGCAGAGCCCCAGTTGCAGAATCCGACTTCCCAGTTTCAGAATACCAGTTTGAGATCCAAGTTTCAGAACCCTCGTCTCAGAACTCCACTTTCAGAATTGGATGGATTAGTTTTCCGAATCCGGCTCCAACCTCTATAAGTACGATGACAAGAATTTAGACTATACAATGACTAAGATGTCACATGTTTCTCATATACCAGCTTGTCATATGTAATGATTAGGAATTAGGATATATATATATATACTGTATATATTTATAGATGCCAAGGATGTTGCACCGCACTATGTCACTCATGATGCCCCAGGAGATGGAGGACGAGATCGCCCAGGATCGGAAGTCCTTGGCGCGCTTGTTCGCTCGAATTGACCTCGACGGCTCGGGGCAGTTGACGCTGGATGAGCTGATTGAAGGCAGGCGCTGAGTGATCAGGGGCACTTCTGTGGGAGATGGTCATCAGTCATCATTGAGTGAACATCAGTGACCACTGAATGGTCATGAGTCTCTATTGAGTGATCATCAGTCATCATTGAGTGGTCATCGGTCACAATTGAGTGATCATCATTGAGTGATCAAGAGCCCTTTTTGAACGATCATTAGTCATCATTGGCTTGCGTGCCCAACAGGATTCAGGAGAAGTCCATCAGCACGGGCTTAGCCAATCTATTCAGTTAGGGTTTGGTTCGGCGCAGAGTCTTATGAGGTGATGTTCGGCGGTGTTAGTGTTGATGCAACAGACGGATGGCGCAGTTGCAAAGCGTAGGAGTCTCAGGCAAAGACGGATGTTGAATCATAAAGTGCAGGTTGGTTAGGCTAAACTTTTCTAAACTCCACCCGCTGGTTAACAGGAACCATGCAGCATGCATAGAGAAAGGGGACCAATGCCAACCCTGGACGAGTAAAAGTAATCAAAAGGATGTCGACAATGACCCGAGCTGCCCTTTATGCCATTCCCCACCAATTTGCTTAACAATCCTTAGACATTAATTATAGTCGAAGAGCCTTCCATTCCATGTTCATGAGAGATTGGGAAAAGGAAAGACGGGGAAAGATCCCAGAACTTGTCACATAGTTGTTTGTGTAACAAGAAGTTTGGCAGTAGGAAACCAATCCTGAACCGATTTTCCTGACAGATTCTTCCAAGTGCCACAAACAGCAAAAGGAAAACCGTGAATACTCTATGTATAATATGGTTCCGGGTCAGTGGTGGTAACAAGGCGGCGGAACGGCTACGGAGCCGAAGGGACTACGTTACGTTTTTTTCTTTGTCACAGTAGCTTGCCGCAAGGTAGCAATGCCCGAACATGTTGGGTGTGTTCCAGTAAGCCTGTTATCATTCTTGAGAAGATCACTGAAAATAGCGACCTGTGGAAGCGCACAGGGACCCATGTACAACATTGAGCAGCCAGTTTGCATGCTGAGGGGGGAGGTGCTGTGCCTAACCTTCCGCGCCACAAAATCACATTGTATACCCCAAATCCCTGCCTATCTGCACCAGCCCGCAGCATGCAAGCAACGACCGCAAGCTACGCACGCCTACTGCATAACAGTCTAGCAACTGTAAGCTGCCCGACAGCACATGCACCTAAATGTTATAAAGATGCCGCTGTAGACCCCAGAAAGCCAAACAAGATGTGGGCAGCGCGCTGCAGCGGCATCAGCCCTCCAGGCTCCAAAGTGCAGCGGCACACTGCAGCGTAGACATTCGGAAACAGCGGGACCCTGAAGCGATGCCTGATTGTTTGATTTCTGTTAGGTTTGTACTATAGAAACAAAACATGTTTACTCACAAATGCGCTTCTCCAGCTGGCAGATGCCCACAGCGCCAGCACTCAGCATCGAGCACCGACACGCTGTCGACACCAGCAGCACCACACCCTGTCGCGACGACGTGGGCCACCAGCCCACCGGCACCAGCACCGACACGGCTCGAAAGTGCACACAGCCTTTTGAAGACGAACATACCCAGACACTCCCACCATATCATATATGCCTACATTGACCCCTAAAACCACCCCAACTGATCGGCATTTTTTGGCAGTCCGATGGAGTGTTTGGGATAGCTATCGATATGTTGAACATGTTGGGGAAACACACGCAGGCGTTTTGAATAATTGCTTTTGGTCCCGTTCTAGGTTGCTCTCTGTGTGGCATGCCCCCGAACTCTCAACTCTTGGCTTTTGTTTTGATCGTCCAAAAGGTTCCTCTTATTTCCCTTTCACATGAACCCCTCATGCGAAGTGGCTGCTTTCATGTGCTTTCCAACTCCTCTCCTTGCCGCGCGGCTCGGCCGAGCGGCGCGGGGTTCCCGGCTCCAGGTGCCCAGCGAGACTCCGATTTCCAGAGCCGGTTGCGGGTCATGGACATCGACGAGAGCGAGACTTGGGCGATATTGGGCTGGGACATGACGGAGGGGAGGAGCACTGAGCCTCAGCCACCGGCGAAGGGGACAGCTTCTTCTTGGCTTTAGGCTGCCACGCCTGCAAACTGCAAACACGTATAGGCCTGGAAAGACATGCTGCAATAATGGAGCCTGTATTGGGCCCCCTTTCTGGAAGGTATATAGTTTCCACAGTCTGAGCTTGCGGAGGCAGATTTCCTGCAAGTTCAGTGCAGAAACTTTGAACTGGAGTCCATGTTGCGTTTATTGGCACAAGTACCATTCTTCAAATCTTTTGTGCACCTGGGGAAGCCCCCACATGGAAGCCGACACGTGGCACGTGGAGCTCGCTAGGGAATCGTAGTGAATCAAAAGCCCCAGTGGCCTAAAGTACCTCCAGTAACTGTTTCGGGCATCCGGGCAGCAAGAGGCTATCATCGAATCATCGCAGTTTCTTCGTTTGGATTGTGGCTGTGGCTGTCATTTGCAGTTTGCATTTTGCCTGTCGTTCTGTTTGGCATCTATCCTGACATGGCATTCTATCTGGCATGAATTCTGGCATCCATACTGGCATTTTGTTCTAGCATGTCTTCCGGCATTCTACCCGCTCTAGGGCATTCTCTCCGCGTATGCTGACATACTTCGTGGCACTCTAAGAGTTGGCCGTTCAAAATCGACTCTTTTCCATGGACGGGTTGCGTTCTTTCTTTTTAACGGATAGTTGGGAAAGAGTCCAGGACCCTAGACCAAGAGAAGGCTCTGTGTTGCACAAGCCAGACCTTTGCATTGCTCAACATAATACTTGGTGCTTAGCAGCGGAGAGCACGTAAGTGATCAAATGACCAGCCCCGAGAGCACCGGTGGCGCGCCTAGAATGGCGAAGAGCGGCTAATAATCAATCGGCTTACGTGGTCTGAGAAGCCACGTCGGCGGTTTGGTCGCTCCCAAGCATCCAAGAGCGACACCGAAGAAGTGGCACAGTCGCTCCCAAACATCAGCACAGTGGCGTTTGTTTCTGACGTTCCGGGTGCGGGCAAAGAGCAGCGTATTCACGTACCCACCATTTTGCAAAATAGGTGAAGAGCAGCAGAAAGTACTCAAATGCCCAGGCCCACACTGTATACTTACCGGATGCTAAAAGGGTCAAGAGCATCGGAAAGGACACCTTAAACGACCATGCCCCATTTTGATTACTTGACGTGCCCCGTGCCCGGGGAAGAGCGCAGGTGCTGTCATCACATGCCACAGGTGCTGAATAGTGGTCAGAGGACAAGAGGGCGGGAAGATCCAATCGGCCCCTCGTTCTGGGAAAGGTTCCAGGGACGAGCTCGCAGTTCTCAAGGGACAAGATCGCAGTTACAGAGTTGCGGCTGGTTCTGGACGGATAGGCGACCTCCAGAGAGCTTGCTGCGACATTGCCGGATTGAGCAAGTCCAACTGCCGTTCCAACTGCCGCATCCAATCTGGCATCTGACTTTTTTCATCACACCCCATTTGGCATCTAGTCCGCTAGTTTTTGGGGCATTCCACGTGGCATTCTCCTGATATTTCATATCCAGGTCCCTCTGCCCAGACCGAGTTGAGTTCCGGTGCCGGCGCTGGGGGTCGTGTTTGGGTCTGTGTATGCCCAGCTTCAGCTGGCACTCGTTGTGGCATCTGGACGGAAGGAGGAAGGCAAGGAGGATGAGGAACTGCACCATGTTGCATCACAAAATCTGGAGGCCCTCACCAGGCAGGTGGGGAATAACCCCTAACAGATGGGGTTCGGTTGGGAAACTGGGCTTCCACGTGAGGACTTGCAGATGCTGTTTGAGATGATCGATGCGGATTCATCTGGTACCATTGAAGCGGCCGAGTTTATAGGACCTTTGAGCAGGTGGGCCGGAGTCGATCACGACGACGATGCCAGTGCGGCGCTGTGGTCGACACCGGCAAAGACCACCCCAACACTCGAACGTACCCAATAACGTTGGGGTAAGTGGTGGGCGGGCCTGGTATGAAAGGCGTTTTGCTTGAAAAAGAGACAGATTGCCAGGTGGGCGCATGATTCCAAGACAGCCCCGCGCTTCATCAAATACAATATGCTGCAGACGATGCAAATCCAGGAGGTGCCCAGATTGGTGGACTTCTCGTCATGTTTTGCTATTTGTTTTGGCTTCATCACCTGTTTAAGTTTCCAGTTTCTAGTATTCTAGTATATAGTTTCTTGTTCCCAGATCCTGTGGTGAGGACTTGTATGACATGTGCGCAGACTGCTTCAAACATTTGGCGCTTCAGATTGACAAGGTTCAGGTTGAGGTGAAAGGGCTCACGAAACACATCGTACGAAAGAAGGGCAGCAAGAAGCCGGAAACCGAACACCTTGGCCTTGGCCAAACCAGTCCGCCGATGGACAGCCGTGTGAGCGCCAGAGAGCATCTCGAAAGTCCTCTCATCCCAAGGGACATCAGGGCATCCTTCAATGATGATGTTGAGCAAATATCTTCTTACACAGACGGGTCGAGGCAATTAAGTCATTGGGAAGCACCCAGAGGAAGTGTTTATGATGCCCGTGCCGAAGCAAGATTGAGTTCCTTGGAGCAATTGGGTGAACGAGTAGCCTTGGACGAGATGACGACGGAGATGGAGAATGTCAGCTTCCGTGTGCCTCCCATCCCCGAGACAGAGCTGCACGATGAGTTGGAGCACGTCATGTTGATGCGCCCGTCCAGACAAACCGAAATGTTGAGTGAGAAACTAAGCTCGAAATTGGGGGGCACTAGCCCACTGAATAACCTTGACCTAAAATCCTCATCCAACAACCACCTTGAACATATTAATGGGTGTTTCTTGATTCTTCTCCCCCTTTGTATATTCGTTTGATGTGTATGTGTTGCGTTGTGTGCAAAACCCGAGGAAGAGCCGACAGTCCAGGGTCATGGACTCGCATCTGGATTTGCTTCTGGAGTCCGCCGTGGTGAAGCTCGAAACCTCCATGAAGAAGATGGAGCGCCTCGCGCGCTCGGCGGATATCCTGGTGTCTTGGGCAGATGGAGAGATGGAGGCGTATACTGTAGCTGGTTTCTGATACCTGATACGGTTCCATCCCGGTTCTAGCGAGTTGGGCCCCCCCAAACTGTGTGAAACCTCTTCATGTTGGATATCACGCCGATTTTTTTTCGACACCCAACCCTGCTCGGTGTCCGACCCGGAGGGACGGCAAGTCGTGCGACCGAGGTGAGGAAGTGGAATGAGACGCCCGAAGTGACACGTCGTGCTCGGACCGTGCCTTAGAGCCTCAAGAAGGGCCCAACGGAGAGCAAGCGAACGGAGCGTGCGGCCTGCGGTTGGGAGGGACGCTCCTGGTAACAGGTCGTGACATGGTAACAAGAAGCTGACAGGCATTACTAGTAGCAGATCCCCTGGGGTCTGTCAATTCTCAGGTCCATACCAGGTGGACCAGTGTTTCTGGTTCCTTCTTTCAGATTTGCCTCCGAAAAATGACTCCCCCACAAGCTTTTACGAGTCAAGCGTCCACCATGCGTCCACGGACTCCCGAGGTTCATTTCGTCGTGACCTCACCTCTCCAAAGGATAAAACTTCTTTCAGCCAGGAGTCACGTTCGACGGGGGTGCCGAGCTTGGAGGATAGGGGGGTGCCCAGCTACACCTCCACTGAACTTCTTGAGGGACTTAAACACCACCCAACTCCATGTGATCTCCTGGAGTCTCATTCCTTGGCGAAAAGGTCCCAAAGCCCTTTCGTCCACTTCTTGGGGACCAAATACCGCGGGCGCAGGTGTCTCATGTGTTCGGGCATCGGGGGGTGCAAGGGGGTTCTTCATGTCAGGAAACGGGGCAATCCGGCTCCACGAGCTCGAGGAGATCTGAAGTCTTCTGGGCCTTATACATGGACCGCGATCATGTGAGAGAACGGAAGCAGAAGAAGAGACACACCCAGGGGCGCATCTCGGGCCGAGCCTCGCGCCTGTCCAAGGGCTCAGGACCCACGTCCAGTGAGTTTGAGAAGGAAAAGGAGCGGCAAGAGGAGCCTGAAGAATTGCAGGACTCCTGTTTCTCTATGTCCTTTGCTAGTTCCATTATAGATGACCCAGAGGATCACGACCCACCTGCCAAGCATGGTTGAGGCAAAGATCTGAATCGGCCATCGTTTCACCGGTGGAAAGCCTCCACCCTCCTGTGACCCTCTGCAGAACTGCGACGAACGCGTTGAACGAAAACGAGCGCCGCGCAACCCGCCGCGCAACCATATGTCACCGAAAGATCTGATGGTCGTCCTACACGACGATGCGCAGCATTTTACGACATGATTTGAGTCAACGAGAACATCACAGGATTCGAAACGAGAGCACTAAGTCGGTCACGTCCTAGAGCGTCGAGCATCCAAATAACAGGAACACGAAGTCAGAGACATCACCGGACACGCCACCCCATGTGCTTCACTGGATGGCTGTGGCGCGTTTGAGGCGCCTGAGCTGCGATGAATCTCCATCCCCAAGAGCAGTCAAAGCGAGAAGAGGATGGAAGAGGAAACAGAGAGTGAGGTGGAGAGGACCAGTTGGTTCTTTTTTTGGGGGGGTCTTGTGAAACGTGTTTTGAAGGTTGACCAATTTGTTTGAGCATATATCGACCAAAGATGATTGAAGCTGGAGCAAAGCCCACCGGTAACGGCCTAAATTATGGAACCCAGCCTTGTGATGTTGTGACAGGTGGCTGCTGCTTGAGCTTTGTGCCGGTTTTGCACTAGAAGGAGGTGCCCAGGCTTTGTGAAGAACCAAGTTAAACAGCAGTTAGACTCTTGATTTAAACAAACACACATGCATGAAGAGGATTAATCACGAAAGCTAGCATCAGCTAGCTGGAGTTGCTCTTGCTTTAGCAAGTGAAGGGCTCGCAGCCTCGAGAATCATGAATCACGTGAAAACTTCACGTGTAGGGGGGCCCCCCCCCCCCCCCTCCCGCGGGTTCAACTCCCCCCTGGGACGCTTCCGGTACGTGCTATAGTGCTATGTTTAGGTGGCAGGTGAAGTAGGCCACTGTTTGAGTTTGGAAGGCGGGGGCATGAAACATGAAATTTACGCGAGGGTTCAAGGCTTCAATGATGAGCATCACGGGAAGTCAGAAACCAGGCGTATCAGATACACGTGCCTTTGAGCTTCCTTCGGCATCTCAGTGCATATGGCTGACACTTCACTCGACAAAGATGCTCATACAAACATACATAAACCAGGTGTATCTGATACGCCTGGTTTGTGACTTCCCGTGATGCTCATGATGCTGCGTTGCTTTTCTTCAGTCCCTCATTACATATACATGACGATCCAACAGCAGATTCAACAAGCTCACATGTTCATGACATCGACATCGATAGAAGAAACCAAACAAATCATACAAGCAGCTTTGTTTTGCCTCTGGGACACCTCTTGGGCACCTCTTATGGCATCCACACTGGTTCAACTCCTCCGTGGAGGTTTTGGGATACGGATGGATACGGTGCAACAGGTTCAACAAGCTCACAGGTTCATGAACACATCGGATGCATCGAACAGTGTGGCAAAGTCCAGCCACGCTTCCTTAATTATCGGGGACTTCAATTCTAAGGTTGGCTGTGTCATTGCTGTTTGTGTGTCTTACATGTTCACAACGTTTTACCTCATGAGCACTTGCCTCACTCCGCTTGATGTCCCACCAGTCCGGATGCACCCCTGCTAGCTTTCGTCACCTACCCTCGGCCTCAAGTCATAAAAGCAGGGGGCTTATTGATCAAGAGTCTACATTCATTTCGTTCAACCAAGACTCTTTTGTCTTCAGTCTTCAGCTTCGGTCACCTCAGCGAAGAAAAATTCCGTGCGCGCAGTGGGCGTGCACCCAGGGCGTCTAAAGCCCAGCACGGTCCAATATGTGGAAAAGCTGCTGGGCACATCAAGGGCGATGTCCGCACCAGACTCAGTCACTGTTGGTCATGAGTCATGTTCCTGCTGGTCGCATGGGTGGCACGGCTAACATGAGTTCGAATCGTCATAAGGGTCGGCCGCCCTTCACTGCCACTGCCAGCCACATGGATCATTTGGCTCGTGAATCAGAGCTTTGCTTGTTGAGGAAAAGATCGGAGCTTCGCTTATTCATGGCGAGGAGGTTCAAGAAGCTCGACCAGTTTTGATATCGTCTTCATGTACAGAAACATGGATGGTGCAGTTGACTTGGGTGAGTGGAAGAAGCATGGCTGAGGTCATCGAATCTCACTCGATGCTTCTTCACTCGCCGCCTAAGAAGAAGACTTGGGCGCTCTACAACCCTTCTTTGCTGCAAGTTCGCCTTTTGGCAGACTGTGCATGGGATATATATATATGCCATTTTTTGTACTTCCCTTGGGTGAAACACCCAAGGCTTCTTGGCATGTCGTCCAAGGCTGGCAGAGACAAGACGTCTTCCTGGTGACCTACCGGTCCGGGAGCCTAGAGACTTCCGGGTCGGCTCCGCAAGCCGAACTCGTGCGATGGAAGCGGCCGAAGGTCGTTCCGAAGGGGCCCTGAACTGGGCGACGGAAGCTGAAGCGAGGTAGCCAGTGACCTGAACCTACGGACCCGTCACCAGGGGTACCGAGCTAGGAGAGTCTAGTTCCGGTTCTTCAACCTCTGCTGGAAATGAACCCACCCTAACCAATCTTTAGGCTCGGACTTTGCATGGGGGTCTGGGCCCGAACCCTATGTGTACCGGGCCCGGATTCGAGCTGATGGAAACTCCTCTACCCACCAAAAAATGGTCACCCCTGCGGAGACGGCGGCGGAACCGACCTCTTTTCATTGGACCTTCGGGGTGGAACTGGTCGTTGTTGACGCCCATGGTCACCGGCCATGGGCGGGAGACCTCGAAGTGGGAGACCTCCATTTCGGAGATCTGAGCGCCAAAACATGCCAAAACATTCGCTAAAATATAGGTCGCTTTATAGTAAGTAGGTTTAGGTCTATTTTTTTCAATTGGATGTTTCCGATGAAGGACTCTCAGATGAGAAACGAAACGAAGTGGACACATGGGAAACATCTGCCATCGGCTGATCAGGGCGGGCACCTGGCAGCTGTGTCGCTGGGATGGTCGCCATTCACCGCTGCAAAGTCTGCCCTACGTTGATGGGCGGAACCAGGCACCGCATCACGGGGGCGGAGGCGGAGCGTAGAGGGGGGCAGGGTACAGAAATGAAAGGTGCAAAACGAGGTGGAAGGCACCTTAGTAAGGTGGGAAGAACCCTAAAAAGGCCCCTTTTGTGGCCCTATATATCTATCAAAGAGTCACTCCAGTTCACCTCTCTTGGATCGCGAATTGCGGTCTGGTCACGAAAGAAATGCTTCAAAGGTTCGGTCTGCGCGTGGGAACTGCGTATCATACACGACACCCGAACTCGGTTCCCGTTCGAAATCAGAGACATGGTGGCCCTCTTAGCGAACGTGGGCCCAAATGCGGATGCCTGGCATGGCTGCGAGCATTCAATTGAGTCATATAGAGGCTAGAGAGAGTCAGCTCTTCGGAATTTGCACGACATGTTGATCTGACATTCAGTTGCCGTATGGCATTGCAAGTATTACGGACCTGAACTCGCAAAAAAGAATATGTGATTGACCATTGTTGGGGTCAAAGAATGGCTCAGAGAATGGCAGGGGAGGAGAGACTCCGGCGATCAATCTTCCAACAGTGCTGGCGCTTTTCTTTCATCCAGATCTTTCGTTTCTGCTGGGATTTGTAGGATGACTCGAAGTCAACTGCCCAATTCGGCTGCGAAGCAGTTGGATTCGGTGACTCTATGTAGGTTGGATGATGTTGGATGCTGGGAATACCATGTGGCAGTGGCAAGCCCGGCATGTGGCATTCATCAACTCATCTCAACTCGGTGTGCTTTCTCTGATGCTTCGGACGTCAACAACACCTGCAGGCGACCAGCAAAGTAATGGTGGCCGGGGGCCTCAAGGCCAAACGGTGGAGGTAGCAGTGTCCCATGTCCCCGCCCCCAGCCATTTGGGGAGCAGACTAGATCGAGGAGATAGAGAAAATGAAGCGGCTCAAGGTCGAAAGAACTGTGTTGTGTGGTTCTTCTCGTCGACCTATTTCTGACCGCCCCAAAACCTGTGTTGGAAGCGGGTCGCAGTATATTTGGGTCGGCCCAGCCATTGTTGAGGGACACTCCAACCTATTCTTGTGCTGGACCATGCTAGACCCCTTTTGCTTTTTCTTTAGGATCCAGACTGATGATTTGCATGGGTTTTTCTCTTCATTTCTAAGGCCTTTGGACTCTAGACTTGCTTCTTTTGGATGCATTTCCTTCCAACAAGTTCCCTGGGCGGAATGACACAGACGCAGCACCGTGCCCACGGAGTGACGTGTTGACTGAAGCGTTGTTCCTCCAGGCCCTGGTGCGTGAAGACTTCTCCACCATTGTCCCAGTGTGACTAGCTGCAAGAGAAGTGGAAGAAAACCAGCACGGTGCGCACCAGGAGTCACAGGACGGGCCCCCCCGAGCTTGGAGGATAGGGGTCCCCAGCTACTCCACTCACTTAGGGACTCAAAACCACCCAACTCCATGTGACTCCTGGCAGAAAGTTCTGGCAGTTGCGGCCTGGAAAGCAGGTGAAAGGCCCGAGGAATCGGCGGTTATGCGGCCGTGCAGCGTTCGAGAACGAAGCAGAGGCATGCACTGGTGGACCAGAAGTACATGGAGCATTCTTGCTCCCATTCCACAGGCGTGGCACATAGCCTGTCCGTGGCATGTCCATGGGTGGTGATTTCGACTACGTGAGTTTCATTTGCGGCATCGCCTAGCACGCGTGAGGCATGCGTCGTGTGGGCATTGATGACAGTCGTCTCTTCCAATTGGCTGGACAGCCCTATGCGCTCTTCGCGGGTGTGGCTCCAGTGGGTCAGGCGCAACTCCCGTGGGTCGAGAGAGTTCACTCCATCCTTTGGGCTACACTCGGAGCTTCTTAGAAGGTGGGACTGGGGTGGGTGCCAGGAGGGTCCAAATACCTTCTAAGGAGGTACGACTGGAGCTCTAGGGCATAATATCACCAATCAACAGGCCATGTTGAAAGGAGCCTTGGGCCTTCGCACGTGGCTTTTTGTTACCTTATAGTCTATACCAGCAGACTTCGTTCGTTCCTGCCAATTGGCAGCGCTTGGTGTGTCCATCAACCACCCCTTTGAAATCCAAACGACGCCCCGGCCTTTGGATCTGGTTATGTCTTTCACTTGGATTTCACCCTTCAGGACCCATTCAGGACTTCGGAGCTTTCCCTTGAAACTGCTTTCTTAGGTCACTTTCAGCCCGCTCCTTCCTCCAAACGGGGCCCTCCCCCCGCGCCAACCCCCCGCATCAGCTCGCATCCCAGCCTCTCAGTGTTCACCTCCGCGTCGCTCTCCTCCTCGTCCAACCAGGAGAGCCCGTGCCAGCACCGACAATACCTCTGTCCGCTGCAGCTTCCGGACGAGGAGGGTCCGCCTCAGGACGGCGGGTCCGTCGGACGTTTTGAATTCCGGGAGACCGATGGAACGAAGACATACCCTATCATACCCTACACCTCCAGTCGTACCTCCTCAGAAGGGATTTGGACCCTCCTGGCACCCACCCCAGTCCCACCTTCTCAGAAGGTACTTGGAGGCCTAGGGATAGTAAGACCTGCTACCCGGGCGGCATCGGAGCAGAAACGGCCACAGAAACGCAACCAACGAAGTTAGGAGATCGTTGGGAGCTCTTGAAAATGGGCAGTGATGTTTTGGGGCCGAGTTGTTTTGGGGGCGTACCGCGGCCTGCAGACATGGCACCGGATCTAGCCGCTCTAGGCACACAGGGGTGGCGTTTTTGAATTGAGAAGTATATGAATCCAGGTCAGATGAGAAGAGCGTCTCGTCCGGGTCCGACGAATGCCTTGGACCGCGTTTTCGGTCCGACGCTCTCCCCGCAGGTCCGTTGTCGGCGGAAGATCCTGCTGACCTTCGTGCCCTGGCCGTGCGCTCCGTGCCGAACATGGCGCTGCTACGCCCACGCGCGCCGTGTCGTTGGAAGGTGTGGAAGTCATGACTAAGGACTATGCAGATCAGCTATCACAGAGGATGATGGCACAAGATCGTTTAGGACAGACATGGAGATCGACATTGGATCCAGCATCACGTAGGATGAATCATTAGAGACAGCAAATATCAGCAAATAGAAGAGATGTTCATCACAGGAAATGTGTGTTCATGATGAGAGGATATGATTTATTTCGGACCTCCATCCTTTTGCGAGGAAGTGTTCATCAGAAGAACTGGATGCCCTTCGTTGCAAATGATGAGCTCTACTTGATCTTTACCATTGAAGCTCGTACGGTTGCAAGCTGTGGGGGGCACATGGTGCACCTGGGGGCCCACAGAAGTAGCTGGGGGCGATGGACCCCATGCCATCCAACAGGTGGAACGGGGGAACAGCTTCAGATGGCCGCAGATGGCCCTTCGCCACGCCAGACAGGAATTCCATGAGCATGGGAACAGAATCAATCAGCTGGACATCCCTTAAAACGAAACGACACCCATGTCCCCCTCAGGCCCAAGAGATCCTAACAGACATAGCAGCTTTGCGGTATTTTGGTCGGTGAAGCTGTTTTAAGACCAGCGACTCCAAGGCAACCTCCTAGTGGAGACATGAGTTCTTTTGTGGCACAAGCAGCAAGCACGGTTTCTGAGAACATGCTTGGACGTCGGAAGTCATAATCATTGCTTGATGTTGGCTTAGTTGGCTTAGTCAGTCCTTGCGAGCTGGTTTGATCGGTCACAGACGCGCAGAGGGCATCCGCATGTGACAGGCTGCATGCCCACCCACATCGGGACAAAAACTCTCCATTTCCTTAAAGTGGCCATCTGGCAGCTCATTCACCTGCAGCTCTTGGCTTTCATTGACAACCTTATGAATTTGCACATGTTGGCGCCAATGGAGATCCCGGACTTCCATTGGCGACCCCTTTTGAAGGTGCTGGCTATGGTTTCTTTTCCTTCTGCAACCCCTGCTGATCCCAGCCCAGTCTTTGGTGGTATGCATGCAGTCTCGCAGGGTTGCTCATGCTGGGGGTTCCCGCATAGGGGCACATATACAAATACGTTTAGTATCTTTTAATTAGTAATAATGATAGATAACACCCGCTCTCTAGTAATATAGATGGTCTTAGTGTTTTTTGTTGAATAATTTTTTTTCCCTCGCTTCGACTCTTTGTGTATAGGATGGACAACTATCAAGACAACATTGTGCCACACACAGATGTTTGCAAAAATGAAGCATGCAAAACATGTGAGTTTCAGAACACGTGACCAAACTTGGGTTTCCAGGGCCAGGGCGTTCTTTTCTGTTGAACAGCGCAACATAAAGATCCCTTTTCTTCTCTGCTTCTGAAGGTTTCAACTCCTGATGGAAGAATTCCATCGAATGACAAATGAGTCCTGTTGCCACTCTGCCACAATGCTGCCTGAGGAACCACTGCGGGTGATTCGCGTGGACGTGAACTCAGGGCTATGCAGCGAGGTGAGTCTTGTTGCTCGGCAAGAAGGGTACGGGGGGGATCCAAGGAGTCGGAGCCGTTCCAGGTCCGTCCATCCGGAGGAAGACGCGTTTGGCGAGGCAAAGTGTAGAATCTTTGGCGAATCCAGAGTTTGGGGGGGCAAGAGATGTGCTGTAAACTTTGGTTCTGTCCATGGACATGTCCTATTACCTGTAACAGTGGGTAAACCAGAAACAACAATGAAAAACGCACATCCTTTTAGAGATGTCGGCCTTTCCTATATGTTAACTCACTGTTGGTGGTAATACGATAGACCCAATGTATACTGCATGCTTATTCATTGATTTCTTTAACTTTAAGACTATAGTCTTCATCCATCTTCATGCATCTTCATCCCTTCGCCGTTCGTTTGTTGGAACAGCCCCCGAAAACGCGCTCGTTGTCCGCGCGGATTTTCGCGGGTTCAACGGCGGCCTCTCTGAGGTCCGGACGCCCGCCTTGAGAGCGTTGCATCCAAATCCGGATGAATTTCGAGGGTGGGAGACCGCGTGCGACCGGATTTGACCGGATTCCATTCGATTCGAAGCGCTTCACTAGCGGGCCGAAACACAGGCCCGCGGCCCGCTGCGAAGGCTCTAAATGTCAGTTGAGGAACGTGGAAGATCTTGGAAGGCAAACATGAAGAAGATGCAATTTTTGATTGAAAAGTCATCGAGACAAACAGCTATATGAGCTGTTCGTCTTCAGATCGTCGAAGACTTCGCTTCCAGGCATGGAGGGCCTGCCTTGGTGCAGCTGCCAAAGCACATGGGCGGAGAGCTTCTGGGCATGGCCCGAGCTCCTCGGATTGAAAAACACACCGCAACGTGAGCAAGATTCTGGGCTGAACATACGCAAGAACCAAAAAAACGCCGCTCTGCACGATTCCATGAAGAGCTGTTTCACCGAACAGCTGGCTGAACAACTTCGAAGCGGTGGCGGAATGACAGCGAAGCAAGCGACCGCTTTGGGACGATCGGATGAGTGTGTTCGGGCCTCTCTCAGAGTACGTGATGCAACGATGAGTGGTTGCATCACGTCGAAGCATTCGCACAACGACGGCCGCTGTCTGCCGCTGACTCGCTTGCTCAGGTTCAATCGGGGAATTTGCTGTACAGCCACTTCTTCTTCACCCTGCAAGTGGAATATCCCTCCATGCCAGTGCTCACGAAGGTGAGGTCTGCTCGATGGCGACTCGCGCCCTCTTTCACCATGGCATGTTGGGGTGATTCTCGTCGTCCGATTGGTTTTGCACATTGCTGAGGTCAGTCGACTCTTGTGCTTTGCTTCAGTGAGGCGCTCCTTTGATTGTTAGCTCTGCAAGAGAAGGAGGAAGACATCAAAAGGATCTCAGTTGGTCCAAAGAAGAAATTGACTGAAGAAAAACAACTATGCAGCGATCAAACCTGGAATTGGTTTACGCGGTTGGGGGGATATGGGCTTGGAGTGACCAGACGGAAGGGTCTGAAGGGTGGCCGTTTGGCAGGCCAGGCATGTGCGAGGTCATCCAATTCGTGGGTGGCCTTCATCTTCAGCAAGATCAACTGGTACCGCCCACAGTTTCCGTCACGTCACACAAATAGAAAGACGTCCGTTCCGTCACGTGCCTTGAACGGCGCACGAGGTCATCAGCTACGGCGTGAACGATTGTGAAGCTTGGTCTGTTGCAGCGAAGGCGACTGGCGGTGCGCCAGGGCGTGCTTCCTTCGCTCGTGGAACACGCATGGCGTTGATCTGTTTTTGATTTGCTTCGCTGAGGAACCCAAAGTGACAACGATGGCTCTGAACAAAGTTTTCGAGCTGTTGAGAAGTCAGAAGCGAGAAGAGCTGTAGCAAAAAGACTTCGCAGAGACATGCACGGCAGCCTGGTTGATTGCAGGAAAAGGCGAGAACATAGCTTTGCAAGCAGATGCAAGTAGGATTTGCATGGGTTGCTGCCCAGATCAGCAATTCAGCCCTGTAGGGAATATTGGATCACATGGCTTTCACTTTTTTGATTTGATAGGCCAGTCTTGGCATTGGCAAGGACGCTCGCATCGTCTCCAAAAGGCCGGGTGTGTGCTTGTGTCAGCTTGTCGCCAGCCACACATTCTTTGACCCAAGCCAGAAACCGGACCCTTACAGTTTCCGTCTCAAAAAACACATTATAATATAGACATGTGTGATATGATATGTTTTAGTTTTTTTTTTTTTTTGGTGTGTGTGTGTGCGCGCGCGTATATATTTCACCTCTTTTGTTTCCAGGTTTGAACACCGCAAGATGTTGTCTTTACATTGCCTGGATCGCCGTGGCCTTCTACGCATGTGAATGTCTCGAGAAATGATGTGAGCTTTGCAGACGGTGAGGGGCGGGCCGGCAGATCACACAGACCATGCCCAACCAACAAAGCGCAGTTTTGGTGAGACGACAGGTTCTTTCAAGCAGGTTCTTTCACACTGCTTAGTTTGCTTTCTCCTTGCCCATTGTATTGAGGCTGTTTGCGGAGAGGTTTGCAGACGTGCAACATGATGCATTTGTTTTTCTCGACGTAAATGGTAACTTCAGGGTACAATGAATGTATATTGGATTACTTACTGGAAAAGGTGCCTGACGCTGTTAGCCCTGTAAGCCTTTCTGCAGGGTGCCTGCATGTTCGGTTTTTCAGTGGCTGGTGGGACCCAATCCCCCACAAACCTATCCGTTTGTCACGGCCACAACTGCTCCGTAGGGAAGCACGGCCAGTGCCAGGCAGCTTGGTGGCGTGAAGTCCAAAGCCGGAAGAAGCTCCAGAAGGACGTCGAGCGTTCCGTTCATCAACGAACGTCCGTCGAACGACGCGTTCAGCCCCTGTTGGTTCCAAGCGCTGCAGCATCTGGACGATGAAGGAATCGAATGGACCCTGCAAAAAGCATCTGTGACACAGCTTCTTCGGGTCTTGATTGCAGGAAAGGAGCTTCGGGCCCGAAGAACAAACACCCCTCTGTTCCGAGCCGCTCGGGACCACCCCATCGATAGGCAGACCGAAATGGTGTGGAATATTGGGCCATGCGGATCGGCTTTCATTTGGGCTGGGAGCTGTGCAGAGCTATGAGGTCAACATGGGCAGGAAGTGAACCTCTCAGCAGAATGAGAGGACCAACGTGCCACATCGGAACAACCATTCATTTCGGACGGTTGGGGGCTCCAGGCGGGAGAGAGATAGCGACCTCCTTTTTACTTATTCCTTTTACTTATTCCTTACCTTCACCTGAGAAGTCCCAAGTGCAGCAGCTGGATCAGGTGTTCCTTTTGGGTAGGACAGATTTCAAGGCCTTTTTCGAGTGGCCATCCACGTTGCCGTTTCTTTTGGGAGTGGTCGACCAGTTACTGCCTGGAAGGCAGTCGAAGGTGGGCACAGATTCGTTCAGGTGTTTGATGTCCACTGTGAGCTTGGGGGCACAGAAAAAGCGAGCATGGTAAACAGGATTGCACTCATTTACACCATGGAAGTGGAAACTCACCATGTTTGGTCTTCCATGGTCATCCAGGCCTTCTTTCTGTTTGGTACAATGTTTTTTTTGCGGGCAGTTAGAATCTGGACCCTCCGAAGTACTCTAGAA